AGCCAACTAAAGTCTATGTCTGGAAAACATTTCTGATTTTAACAAACCACAAAGGACAAAGAGCTGGATAAAACCAATAGTGGTTTTGCCAGAATCTTGCCCGAAGCCAGAGCTTCACGACTTATATAGTTAGTAGAATCGTCTCAAGACCTCAGAAACACTCTCGACAAGTATCACCCTACGCTAACATCTAGCTTCCGAACACATCAAGCCGTCACAGAGGTCAAACAAAAGCAAATTGAGGAGAATCACATTACCAGCCCCGAATTCTCCGCGGAGACCATAACGTAGTGTGGTTACCGAGGACCCCTGAAATGAGCCGCCTTGACAGCTTCGCCGTTTTCCAACTACCCCGACCGATGGTTCGCATAACAATCTTTTGCAAACCAAAATGATTGCTGATGGCCCCCTCTGTTATCTTTATGGCCCGACGGAGATCGCTGGTAATGATTAATCACGTGATTTCCCTCAGCTTTCCTTTTGTTTTGCCCCCATTCTCTCATTATCTACATTGACAGAGCCAGATTGAATTGAATTGAATTGAATCGAATCGAATCAAATCATGATTAATTGATACAGAACCTTATGAATCGAAATCGAATCGATTTAGGAAATTGGCCACGATACACAGCTTTAGTCAACATGCTCCCGAATTTTCATTTTTTGAGCGCTGCAAGAAGGAGTTAAAAGTCTCTTCCTTTAACCTTGGAACTTGGTGAGAGGGGAGAGAGAGTCGGACAGTTTAGTAAGCATGACCCCGTTGGTGGGGGTCTCTCCCAAATAGCAGACGCTCTTAAAAGGTATTAATTTAGCATTTCACTTCCCAAGCTTGAAGACCAAGATGGGGGGGATTTATCTTTTAGTATTTAATCACAAAATTGACATAGATACACTTTATTGTGAATATTTGAAGGCACTTGTATTACCATACTTACATCCATTTGACTTGTTAGGAAAACAAACCATGAAACGTATTCACTGACACCACGACTTAAGTTGGTGTTATTTCAAACTTCAAGTCAAAGGCTTCTTAGTTTGAATGTGAACATGAACTTTTTGCAACAACCGAATAGGTCTGCTCTTCCACCATGCTATTCAGTATCATACGTTATCATGCTAGGGCAATTTTGCATTCATTTACACTATGCATAGTGGAGTGTTGGGTATTCACTGTGAATGTCCACTGGAATACAGAGCTCAACATCTCTTTTGACCAAAGGTAACAATGGATTGGTGATCCCTGTAAACCCAAGCTCCATCTTAAAAAGGCATCACATGTTCAGTCTTAAAATCAGTTTGGGGTGATGTCATTCCTCTGATTTCAAGAACTATGTTAAAGTATTTTGAGACTGTTAACAGAGACTATTAGAGTCTAAAGTCTACAATTATTTCAAGGTATTTGCATGTCAGGCTTTTCCACAAATGTAATTGTATAGTTCAATGGAGTGTACATAGTCTACCTATGAGTGTTTTTATGGTGGTGACAGGTGTTGCTGGTTCAACCTGTTCAACGCTGTAGCAGCAATACAGAAAACTCGAGTGACAAAGTCAGTAATAACTGAGCCTTTTGAAAATCAAATGTTTTCTGACTTTTGTGGTTAAATATTACATTGCCAGTGAGGTTAATGTAGTTAGATTCAAAATGTCCACTGAAAACCAAAAATGATGGACCAAAGAAGCAAAGAATGACCTGCTAACCGATGTTGTAATTGCGGAGAGTCATTAGGATTATGTCACTAAAGGATTGTGTTTCCTCAGAAGTTAATAAGGAATGCAGATATGTTGTAACTACCATTTTAGTGAGGAATAAGGACCACTTAAGGACCACTACTTAACCCCATTCAGCAAAATGGTGAACAGAACCTACAGTTGTGTGTGTGTGTGTGT